ACTTCCGTAGTGATACTGCCTCGGAAACCCAAGGAGGGATCACTATGAGTCGGGTTTGACTCGACGGCACATAACAACAACAACAACAACAGAACTGATGAATTGTGGTGTTGGTGAAGAATACGGAATGTATCATGGACTGCTAGAAGAATGAACAAATCTGTCTTGCAGGAAGTACAGCTGGAATGCTCCTTAGAGGTGAGAACGGGCAGACTTCATCTCTTATACTTTGGTTATGTTCAGAAGGGACCAATCCCTGGATAAGGATGTCACGCTTGCTGAAGTAGAGGGTCTGCGATGAAGAGGAACAGACTGAATGAGATGGAGTGACAGTTTCTGTGACCATGGGCTCAAGCATGGCAACACTTAAGAGGATGGCACCGGACTGCGCAGTGCTTCGTTCTGCTGCTCACAGGCCGGCTGTGAGTCAGAACGGACTCAACGGTACCTCAAAACAACATCAACAAGGCTGCATATTTATACAGTGGGTTATCATTTTCTTCATGTTTGACAGTTGTTTATAAATTCTCAAGCCAGTCTATGTCTGAGAGTTACATATGTTACATATATTTTCCCCTCAGTTTATGGTTTGTCTTGTCCCTCTCTTAGCAGTATATTTTGATGAAAAGTTCTTAAATTTAATGTACTTGGATATACTAATCATTTTTTTCACAGTTGTGGTACAGTCAATTACTTAATACGGCCCTTTTAGCCATGGTGTTGGACTCCCCCAGACGTCTGGGTGAAAGTATGCAAATGTGAGGTGCTAGTGGTCCACCAAGAGGATTGGACAGCTTGTTACCAATGTAAATAAGGTACACAGTACCCTTATGGAGGTGTAACATGCATAGAAATAAGGTATACGGAACCCCACTGTGGGGACTGGTCAGTTTTGTCATATGCTTAGAATGAGCCACCCCAGAGATGAAAATGGGGATCTGACTACCATCAAGAAAGAAGAGCCAAGAGTGGACCATGCCCGTGGACCTGAGATCCCTGTACTGAACCTCCTTCACCCAGGAGACAGAGACAGAGAGAGAAAAAGAGAGCGAGCGAGAGAGCGTTAACACTCTGCTGAGATGGCGAGAGACCACCAAAACAGAGGTAGCAGCCAACACAGTGGGCTTCCCAGACCTTAGGGCTAGAGCGAGTGCCTTCGGGCTGAGGCCGACTGTTGGAGTTGGATGCCTCTGCCTGAGGCAGAGCTTAAAGAGCTTTGTAACGCTTGCACACGAGGCAGAGGGACCAGGACCAAGGGCCAAAAAGAGGCATGCCTGTGGGCCTGGCTGAGGGGAGGCTGTCCTGATGTTAGAACTGTATCCTGAGCATTCCCCATCCTGAATTGCAACCTGTTACTTTCCTAATAAACCCCATAATTGTGAGTGTTGTCTGTGCGTTGTGTGTGACTAAGACACTGCACCAAATTATCCAACCTAGCAGAGTAGACAATGTGGTCGAGAGAC